CCTTATCCTGATTTGCATCTGAATTCATTTGCTGAGTAATTTGCTTGTTCAGTGCCTAATCTGCTAGACGTCCAAACAAAGTTTTAATTATGAGCAAAAGATCTAGTAATGTCATTTTTTCTAAATTCGTAATGTTTTGGTCTCTGAATTCGTAATTGACTAGTTTTATTAATCACCTTTCTGAACTTGAACGAAAGATGTAGAATAATTCACATCGGTTGCAAATTTTAATTCGTAATTGACTAGTTTTATTTTGTTAGCTTCTGATTTACTGTCCTAGATTTCTGATAAGTACTTAGTTGAAGTTCCTTATTATATTAATTATCTATTACATAACACGTTGAACTCATGTAAGTTCTGATTGATTCTAGGGAACACTTATATTATATAAGTAGTAGGTACAAAAATGCATTTAGTATTACAATAAGCCTTCAAAATTCTTCGCATTAACTTTTGTTTGGTTAAAGTTCTTACAGACTTTCAGATTATTATACGTACCTTGTTAGCACTTGAGTGCATATCCTAGGACATTCAATTACTAAATCTGATGCCTGGTTTTGTTTATACAGGGGAATCAATAAAAAAAACAAGCAGTGAAAGCCTCAAGGAATGCTGAAAGATGTGCTTGCATAGAAGAAATTTTCCGTGTGAGATAAAACAGATTGCTGGTTCACCAGTGCTACTGATCTACTCAAGTCTTGATGTGAGTGATCAACTTTCCTGCACTAATTCTACACCATTTAGACTCCGAAACGACGATGATATAAGAATGTTGTTCTCCATCCACGATCATGACCTTGGGGAGGATGGCTAAAGAATTGCAGTCCATCTGATTGGTGGTCAAAACATAGTGCTGAGATTTATATCTTTGTGGGCATGGAGAGTAGAGGGAAGATTCTAATGGAGAGGTATGAGTTGGGGAGATTGTTGGGGAAAGGAACATTTGGCAAGGTGCACTATGCAAGGAATCTGGAGTCAAACCAGAGTGTGGCCATAAAGATGATGGACAAACAGCAGATATTGAAGGTCGGGCTTTCGGAGCAGATCAGACGTGAGATCACAACCATGCGGTTGGTGGCTCATAAGAACATTGTTCAGCTTCATGAGGTCATGGCAACACGGAACAAGATCTACTTTGTGATGGAGTATGTGAAAGGTGGTGAGCTATTTGAAAAGGTTGCAAAGCGTGGAAAGCTTACAGAGGTTGTTGCACATAAGTATTTCCAGCAACTCATTAGTGCAGTGGATTACTGCCACAGTCGAGGTGTGTATCACCGGGACTTGAAGCCTGAGAACCTACTGTTGGATGAGAATGAGAACCTGAAAGTCTCAGACTTTGGATTGAGTGCGCTTTCAGAGTCGAAGAGGCAAGATGGCTTACTCCATACCACCTGTGGAACACCTGCATATGTAGCTCCAGAGGTGATTAGCAAGATAGGCTATGATGGTGCAAAGTCAGATATTTGGTCTTGTGGTGTTATCCTGTTTGTTCTTGTTGCTGGTTACCTTCCTTTCCAGGGCCCAAACTTGATGGAAATGTATCGGAAGATACAACACGGTGAATTCAGGTGCCCCGGTTGGTTTTCACGCAAACTCCAGAAGTTGTTGTACAAGATCATGGACCCCAACCCAAGCACAAGGATTTCAATCCAGAAGATAAAGGAGTCTACCTGGTTCCGGAAAGGTCCTGAGGAGAACCGTATTTTGAAGGAAAGAACTTTGAATGAAAACACCACCAAAAATGTTGCTCCGGTGCTTGGTGTGAGACGCAAGAAAAATGCTCATGAAGATGTGAAGCCCATGTCAGTGACAAACTTAAATGCTTTTGAAATTATCTCTTTCTCCAAGGGATTTGATCTCTCTGGCATGTTCATTGTAAAGGAATGGAGAAATGAGGCAAGGTTCACTTCAGATAAATCTGCCTCAACCATAATCTCAAAGCTAGAAGATGTAGCAAAGGCGCTAAATCTCAGGGTAAGGAAGAAAGACAATGGTGTAGTGAAGATGCAAGGGAGGAAGGAGGGAAGGAATGGTGTTCTTCAGTTTGACATAGAGATATTTGAGGTTACCACTTCCTATCATATCATCGAGATGAAACAAACAAGTGGCGATTCATTGGAGTACCGACAGCTACTGGAGGAGGGCATCCGGCCAGCTCTGAAGGACATTGTCTTGGCCTAGCATGGAGATGAATAGCAGCAGTCGCAAGAGTAGATTTTGATGTCTCAAGCATTTAGTTTCCGCTCCTCAAATTCATTAGGTTTTAGCTCAAATGAATTTATTTGTCTTGCCTGTGTTCTTTTTAGCATCTATGTTTTTGTATCTGGAGAGTTCATGTTGAGACAATGTATGCAATTGTATTTGGAGAGTTGATGTTTAGGCAATTTATGCACAATTTAGATGGAGTCTGTCGAGAGTAATTTTATGAGAAATTGAGCTGCAATATAAAAATTGGCTTTGAGCCTTTCAAGCTTTCTTCAGATATTCGTCCTGATACTGTCATAAAGCTATGTTTGGGTGCAATGTTGTGACACCATTAGCAAGGTTTCTGCAGCATGAAGTATGCAATTCTTGGTATTCACCAGGCACTCAAGAATTTCTAGAGTTTTTAACTTTTTATTATCATCTTGTTGATGAAAATTCTCATATCAATAGTGCTACAGAGGTATACCTTATCAGATATTGAACATAAGTTTTTATCAAACAAATAAAAGAAAAACCGAAGCGACTTCTCATTCTTCGGACGAACAAGATAACACGAGTGCACAGTCCTACAAGATAGTAGCAGGTAGGCAACGAAATACCAAAAAGTTGCAGTTTCATTGGAAGACAAAAAAAAGATTTTTTTTTTAAGAATAAGGATATCCTTGTATTTGCCAAATAGCCACAGAGAGCGAAGTTATTGGTAAACAAAAGAAAATATAATACACATGTTGAAAAGTCTGAACAAAAGCTATTTAAACACCAGTTGTGAGTTGTGAGGAAAATAAATTGTCCCTGTCACTGAGGATAGATCCAACATCCAAGAGCTCATTTTTCACGGTCCTAATTGATCACCCAACAACTTTCCAAGATGTTAATAATACTGCTAATCAGACTGTCCAAATGTCGACTGGATTTGGTTAATCTCAACAACCCAATTGTAGCTGTGACAAGTTGTACATATGACAAAGGCTATACTCTTCAGATTGCAACTTGCGAATTTCCCACCTAGATGCTTTTGTCCTTTGTAAGATTTGAGAATTTTTTTTTGCTTTGAGAAATAATACTGAGATATCAATGATAGATTCCTGATAAGATCGCTGTAAATTAGAGAGAGAGAGAAAAAAAACGTTTTAAGATAAGTCATGTGGTCATGCAAAATTCAGTTCTACTACTATACATTTATATATCTTTCAGCTGTTGCCAGTTTATATACAGTAGTGTTTGTCTTGATAGGATATGCTAAAAAAAAGCCTTGGCCGACAATATGTGATGATGATGATGAGGTAATCCTTTATAACCAGTAAAGCAGAACAGAGGGAATAGTAGTCTGAATTTGCAAGAGATGGAGAAAAACCTTGACCTGCTCTGCTTTCCTGTCACCTTGACCTTATTATCCTCTCGGAGAGGAGATGGAAGGAACTAGGCTTTGATCTGTACAGCTTGTGTGCCGTTTCAGGTCCTGGTTGACGTTTCAGCTGAAGCTCATCAACCTCGTCTCTGGCAGATTTTGCGCCGTTAAGATCTTCACTTCTGGTGGTTACTCAACGACTCTGATGATGACATGATTCACTCTGATTTTGCTGCGGATTTTGCTGTTTTCACTGGCCTGCAGATGGTGCGCCCCCGTGGTAAAGATGATCCAAGAGAGGTTCGGATGATCAAGCACAAGTCCATGTATTACATTTTCAACGCCTATAACATTGAATTTGTTCTCTAAGAAACTAATTTCGAGTTTTTATAGATGAGAATTGGTGTGTTGAAAGTAATATTATTTTTCTATGAATCAATATGATTTTCTTTCTATGGAAATATATTTATCATCCACCTTAGTTAATTTCCGGTGGACGGTAGGAGAGTACTGACTACTCAGTAGTTGTTGGAGCTCTAATAAATTAGAGGTGCATGTGCAATACAGGAGTAGTGTCATGTGCATCCTATTTGGGCCGAAAAGTATTTTTATACCTATGTGCAATGGCATTTAGGTATATGCATGAAACGAGATTTGGAGGGGGAAAAGTCCCTTCAAATATTTTTTTAAAAGAAAGTGTGAGCTTATTAAGAATTAAATATGAGATTTCAGGGTTGAAACCATCCACCGCTTACCACTTCATTCTTATGCGTAACACAAAGTTTAACGATTTTTTTTCCGGTGTGCAACTGTGATTCGTCTTGCAGACGCTAGCTTTTACAAGTTGCATCAGTACTTTGAATAGAAAATGAAGAAAGTAAGAACGACCCTATATTTCTGTAGTACAGTATCATTTTAACAATAAAACGCCACTGTCCAACCAACAAGCATCATTTCGACAAAACTAGAGGTTACAGTCGAACCATTTACTAGTAAAAAAAAAAATCTCTGTCGCAAGGATGAAATTGAAATGAAATTTGCAAGGTGTCATGCGGACTTGTAAAAAGAAAAAGGAATTACTGGCCTACTGAACCGGCCCGTTGGACCCATTAAGGAGGAAAAATATTACTCATGTTAATCGGGCCAACGGGCCCAAAGACGCGAGCTGCCGCAGATTTACCTTCATCTACTCCATCCATGCCGGCACCTCCGCCGCCGCCCGCCGTCTCCAACTCCACTGCATGCATCGAATACCTCCGGCCATTGCTATAAACTCCAAGGATTACTTACTGCTTTTCGACGTATATATAGAGGGTTCTTCGATCTTCTTTAATTTCTCTCTCCACACCATATTGATCTTCTTCTTCGTTGCGAGCTGTTGCATGGTGTCTAATCTACATTAGAATCAGGTCGTCTCGGCGTTTGGAATTTGGAGCAGATACGTACCATGGGACGACGACGATTTGTGAACCTGGTGGTGCAGGGCGCCGGTGGACTCTATTCTCTGCGCCGCATACCCGCGAATCGTCTCTTCTACCCATCAACAAGAGCAGCTGAAGAAGCAACGGCAAAGTCACAAGAATCATTCATGGAGGAGCACGGTGGCAGGAAGCATCCAGGCCTCCACACCATGGAGATGTTGGAGAAGCTTCCCCGTTCGACGTTCGCCTTCGAGCCGGCCCCCGTGGATCGCTACCATCTTAGGTCTCTCGACTTCGCCTGTCTCCTCGGCCACGAGAGCAGGATGCTCACTGCAGACAACAGGGGAAACACCGTCGTCTTCGACGCCGACTCCTCCTCCGTCCTCGCCTTCCCCAACCTCATTTCTCCCAAGAGGTATAACGCCATATCCCTCTCCATTATCAACAACGATGGCAGCAACAACAACAACGGGTTGGAACCACCGCCGGAGGACGGCCTCTACGTGATGACCCGGAGTCCCGACGTCCACAGAATCAAGGATGGTTGCTTTGAGGTGCTCAACTACTCTTCTTCCTCTGCCGATTTCCGTGAGATGACCCCTCATTGGGTTTCTCTGCCACCACCGCCCTTCGCCGGCTGCATGAACGCCGAAATTACCTCCTACACGGTGGTTCACGGCACCACCATCTACATTTCTTGCAATAAGCCAATCCATTCTACTTACGCCTTCGACACGGTTAGCCGTGAGTGGCGCCGGCTGGGCTCCTGGACAATGCCATTCCATGGCAGAGCTGAGTATGTGCCAGAGCTCAACCTCTGGTTTGGCCTGTCTGCTGACCATCCCTACAGCTTATGTGCTTTTGATCTTCCCTCCGACGACTCATCCGTCGCAGCAAAACCACCCACGGTGCAGCATACTTGGGTGGACCTTGTCATACCTCAGTCCTGGTTGCCATGGAACATTAATCTCATCAACCTTGGCTGTGGCAGGTTTTGCATCGCCAAGATGTTCCATTCTATTTCGGGTGATGGCACATTTTGTTCCTACTCTGAGAGTGACGATGGCACAATTGAAGACTCTGACCCAATTCATGGGAGTTTCGCTATCTTCACTGGCCTTCACATGGTTCGCCCTCGTGGTAAACATGATGATGTCCAGATGATCAAGCACAAGTTCATGTACTACCAATTTTTCGATGATTACATCGAATGGGTTATCTGAAGCTGATGGTTATTTTGCTATCAAGCAGCTAGCATATGTGCCCTAATTTCACTTTGGTATTTGAAGCAATGCTAGCTTTAATCTCCTATACATATGTCCATGTTTCTAGCTACCTAGTTGTCTATCAGAGACTCTACTTAATTTGATTGGAATAATTAGTAGGATTGATTGTAAGAGACTCTTCTAAGTTACTAGTGGTATCTAAGTAATTAACATTTCTAAATTATTAGTACCTAATAAGCGTCATATCAATGTCACATGAGACGAAGACCTAGTTAAAGGAGGCATGTAGGCACCACATCAATCAAAACCAGGGACAATACCGCCAGAGGACTTCCTTTGCACTGGTTTATAAGTTTGGGGATGCGTTATGTCCGGTTTTGCGGTTCAAGGATGATTTTGTAATGTGACAAGATGAGGGATCTCTATTGTATTTTTTTTCCTTAAAAAAATATAGTACCATACCACTCAAGTAAAAAGTTTGTGGGTCCATGGGCCAAAGGCAGTTGGAGCAATCCCTAAAAGCCACGATTTTCTTTTGTATTTGTTTATTTAAAAGGTTTACAAAACTAAACTGCCGTTCTGAAGTTTTGTAGAAATGTACTCCTTATGTCCTACCATAGGATAGGACATATAAATCATCCTATGTTAGGACGAGAAATGTGACATGGAGGACGACCGAAGAGGCGTGTTATTGAAATTTTACGGGCAGGGTGCTGCCTCCAAAAAGGCATGATAAATCACCATTTATTAGGACAATCTACTGTTGCAATGGTTTATCTTAAAAAAAATAACAAGTGGGGTGACCACGGATATTTGAAAGTGCCCCAGTAATAAATCGTTCTACGGAAGAGTGAGAAGGGGCGCCTACAAAATTGCCACACGACGCGCGCCCCTTCCGTCATTTGCCACGTCTCGCACTTCCCCTTGTATGGTATGGCGATTAATAAGGGTAATTTAATTTTTATTTTTTAAAAAAATAATATAAAAATAAAGAAATCGCGACTAGCAGGACCCAGACGGCCCTAATCCGTGCCATCGCGCTGAGGCTGAGCCTCGGCAGCCGCCGCCATCCTTCCTGACTTGTCCAACCCTCCTCCTTCCTTCCTGTAGATTGCACGCTGCCCCTGTAGATCAGCAGCTTCCATCTGATCTGCATCCCGGCCGACTGTCACAGATTGCAAGGAATTGAAAGGAAATCCACATCCTTTGCTGCTGCTGCTGCAGGTATGGGTTTATTTTGCTCCATCCATTGCTGTTTCGTTCTATTGGTCCGTCTGGTCGTTCGTCGTATTTTGTTTCTTTTATTCCTTTACGGAATTACTAAAATTGTGTCTCCACAATTCTTGGCTGATTATAGTAAGATTTATCAACATCATATCGATTCTCAGATTCGTTCTATTGCAAGCATGCAAGCCCGTTTTGAATGCCGAGTTACCAACTGCTCTTAGCTGGTATTTTTCTTCGGTCAATGTAGTGTATGATAAAGTTAAGGTTAAAAGGTACTCACATCACATTTGAACTACAATTACATGTCACTTACATTACAGTTACACCGTATTTAAAAATGTAGGTTTAGTTCTATGTGCATGTAAATTTATATTTTTATCTATTTTTGCACAGACCTTGCCTTCTAGCTTTGGTTTTTAGCTATGCAGCTAGTACTTATGCTATAAGTTTAGTGTCAAATTGTTTCATCAGTAATGAGCTTTTGTTTTGTCCTGGCCGTTGATCTGTAATGGTGAAAAACTAACTGTTTTTAGGCTGAAATTGTGGCAACTGTTATATAGGCACTCCCACCCAACAATAGAATCATCCCGTCAGATAAGAAGATCAGTTTTGGTTCGGAAAAAGATATGGGGAGGCGATTTCTAAACCTTGTGGTGGAGAACGCCCGCAGTGGACTGTATTCTCTGCGCCGCATACCTGCAAATCATCTCTTCTACCCATCAACAAGAGCAGCTGAAGAGGCCACGGCAAAGTCCCAAGAATCATTCAACGCGTACGTTAAGGAGCACCATGGCAGGAAACATCCAGGCCTCCACACCTTGGAGATGTTGGGGAAGCTTCCCTCTCCCATGTTCAACTTCGAACCAACCCCCTGGGATGGCCAGCGTCGACATAGGAATCTCGAGTTCGCCTCTCTCCTCGGCAATGAGAACAGGATCCTCATTGCCGACCACAGTGGACATACCATCGTCTTTGACGCCGACTCCTCCACCGTTTTGCCTTTCCCAACCTCATTTCTGACAAGGGTTGTGCAGCCATTTCCCTCTCCATCAAAAACAACAACTCCAACAAGAACATTAGTGGCGACATGTGGGATGAAGACAGCCTCTACGTGATGTCCCAGAGTGTTGACCCTGAAACCAAGGATTACTGCTTTGAAGTGCTCAACTACACTTCTTCTTGTAAGGATTTCCGTGGGAGGACTCCCTGTTGGAGTTCTCTACAGCCGCCGCCCTTTGCCAACTACATGCATGCCGACATTACTTCCTACACGGTGGTTGACAGCTCCACTATCTATGTTTCTTCCATGGAGCCAGATGCTACTTATGCCTTTGACACAGTGGGGCGTCAGTGGCGTCGCCTGGGCTGCTGGACAATGCCATTCGATGGCAAAGCTGAGTATGTGCCGGAGCTCAAGCTGTGGTTCGGACTATCCGTCGACCACCCCTACAGCTTATGCGCTTGTGATCTCCTCTCCGATGCAGCAAAGCCACCCACGGTGCAGCAGCAGCACACTTGGGTGGACCTCGACATACCTGAATCCTGGTTGCCCTATAACATTGACCTCATCAACCTGGGCTGTGGCAGGTTTTGCGTCGTCAAGATTTTCCGTTCTATTGCAGGTGACTGCACATTGGGTTTCTCCGATTACGATGACGATGACACAATGGACTCTGACCCGATTCAGGGGAAATTCGCTGTCTTAACTGGCCTACAGATGGTTGGACCTTGTGGTAAAGATGGTGATGATCAAGGTGGTGTCCGGATGATCAAGCACAAGTCCATGTACTACAACTTTTGGGACTATGAAATCGAATGGGTTATCTGAAGCTGAGGGTTTTACTATCAAGCAGCTATCTAGCATATGTGCCCTAATTTCATTTTGATATTTGAAGCAATTAGTGCTAGCTTTAATCTGATAAGCTTTATATCATGCATGTTTCTAGCTAGCTAGTGGACTGCTGTAAGAGACCCTAGTTAATTAGTAATTAATAGGATTGGATTTCTAAATCAGTAGTGCTATCTAGGTATAATATTTCTGATTAGTACCTGATATGTGTGTACCCATTCTAACGCAAATCGAATTGGTTCTGAAACTAATATCATTTTGCTATATATGAAGCAGAATGGGTTCGCCTAAACTGATTTCATTTTCATATGAAACAATATGCTTCGTTTGATATGCAATTTATCATCCATATTTCCAGTGGACTGTAAGGGACTAGTGAGTAGGATTGAAAATTTGGAACTCTAAATTAGTGCATGGTCTGTAAGAGTCTACTTTGCTAATTGTATGAAGCAGTATCACTCTTGCTGGTTGTATCTTCAAGAGAGCTATCTTGTCAGAAATGGAAAGGCAGCGAAAACAGTGGAGACTGAAGATTTTTCCTTGTCAGCTGAACTAAATTTGGCCGAGTGTTCTATCTGAAACTAAATTATCGTTATGATTTCTATGAATCAGCCCATATGGCCTAATCTTATTCATTTTGATACTCTGAAGGCTGAAGCAATGCTTTTATCTGATATGCAATTTTGCGTCCACATTTCTAGTGGACTATAAGAGACTAATGATCAAGTAAATTAGTGGTGGTATACTTACCAGTTAAGTAGGATTGGAATTCTAAACTAGCTAGTGGCATGTAATATTCCAGTGTTTTTTGGTCCTAACTGAATGACATTACTGGGCTGGCGTGTCATTTTGCTAGCTAGTTAGTGGTACAACAATATGTATCTTACTGTCATCTCCTGGATTTCACTACCTCTCTGCAACCAGAAGCCTTATCCGTATATGTTGTTGAGCAAATACAAGTTCTGAATTCCTTGCATCAGTACAAAGTCATGTGTTGTCTCCGCTTCATAAGCTGATTACTTGGAGGAAAACAAATTTATTCATGGAGAAGGGATAATTAGTTGGAGTGCTTGATAGATATGATATAAATTTGTTGCCTCTTGCAATGCCTGCACAGTTCTCCTTCCTGGAACATGTGAAGATGAAGTAAAACCAACCTAAAGGGTGAGAGCCAATGTAAGAATGTCTCATGTGATAGGGTAGAAAAATAAAATTAAAACATTGAGAATATATAAGTAACTTGCTTATTTTCAGACCGTGTAAATATTATATCTGATTTAACCCTCTAAAAGGCCCAAGTGGTTCGGTTGTCTTCTGGAGTAGTTTATCTTATAGCTTGCCACCTTATCTAATTTCCACTTTATATTTGGGCTGTTATCTTTTGGTTTAGGATTGATAGTTAAAATGTTCTATCTATTATCTCCTTGTAAGGTGGTGTCCTCTGCAATTACCTAGTGGTACCAAAAAAAAACCTTACTATGTTTCTCTCAATAAAAGCATCAAAACTCCTCTCTTTTTTTTCAGGAAAAAAAAGGGGAAAGGGGGGGCAAATCAGCTGAGAAGGGCACATTTAATCAGCATCAGAGTTTGTACAGTTATCAGCATATATATAGAGTAGATGATAGGGGAGCAATCCAATCAGAAAATAATCAACTTTCTTGTTGGTTGTCAGCTACCGTGCAAGAACCAAGAAGAAGGCCCTAGGCTGTGGCCTGTCGGGCCATATATAGCCCAAAGGCACGAGTTCTCTGTTTCGCCTTCATCTAATCCATCTGACTTCACCGCCGCCTCCTGCTAATAACTTGTTCTCTTTAATTCGATTGATCAGGGCAGTAGGGTATTTGGAGATCGATGGGTCGACGGCGATATCTGAATCTGTTGGTGCACAACAACCACGACGACTTGTATTCTCTGCGCCGCATACCCGCCAATCGTCTCTTCTACCCATCAGCGAGAGCAGCCGAAGCAGCAGCCATGGCCAAGTCCTACATCGATCACGATGGCAAGAGGCCGCATCCAGGGGCGCTGCATTTCATGGACAGGTTCCGCAATTTCCCATGTCCCTTGCTCAACCTCCAGCCCACCCCAATGCATCACCGAAACGAAAGATCTCTCGACTTGGTCACCCTTCTCGGCGACGACGAGACCAAGATCCTCACCGCCGACAACCATGGACACACCGTGCTCTTCGACGCCGCCTCCTACTCCGTCGTCCACTTCCCCAACCTCAATTGTTCCAAGGGGTATGATGCCATGGCCGTCTCCATCAACCAAGAACCGGACTGCCTCTACGTCCTCAACCTCAGACACCACCCCACTACCAGCAACCATTGCTTCGAGGTGCTCAGCTATGGGGTTTTTTGTGAAAGGATCCCCATATGGCGTTCTCTACCGCCGCCGCCCTTCACAACGACCACCCAAACTACAATTACCTCCTACACAACACTATCTACGTTTCTTCCAAGCTCTGTGGCACTCACGCCTTTGACACGGTGAGCCGTCAATGGCGGCCTATAAGCAGCCTCTGGTCAATGCCATTCTTAGGCAAAGCTCAATATGTGCCGGAGCTCAAGCTCTGGTTCGGACTATCATGCCACCACCCCCATAGCTTGTGCGCTTGTGATCTCACCAATATTGCACAGGGTCAGCTACACACTTAGTTGGACCTCGACATACCTGCATCCTGGTCGCCGATTCGGCTCGACCTCATCAGCCTCGGCTCTGGCAGATTTTGCGTCGCCAAGATGTTCTCTTCTATGATGCAAGATGACGAAATTCACATGGAGTTTGCTGTCCTCACTGCCCTGCAGATGGTGCCTCCCCGTGGTACCAAAGATGATCAACAAGCCCCCTGGATGGTCAAGCACAAGTCCATATGCTACCCATTTGGCTACTATAACATAAAACGGGTTTTCTGAAACTAGTGAGTATCGTTTTGGTTTCTATGAAGCAATGCTTTTATCTGCTACGATGCATTTTGTCGTCCACATTTCTGCTGGACTGTAATTAGGAGGGTACAACTGTGCCTTCTGCTTGCATTGCAGACACTGTGATTTGATTTGCAACCCCCTACCTAATCTTCCGGCAGGCGGCAGCATATATATACGTGTTTTGAAGCATGTATGTATATGCTCCAGCCTCCAGCAATACCAGTAATCTTACCAGGATGAGTACAGCTAATTTTCTTTTGCACATCACAGCCATATATCTTACCTGAAGAACTTACCATAAGATGTGACATCAACCATGAAATTGTTGCCCTTGCTTTATAAGCGCCATCACAAATACCAGGCACCTAACAGGACATTTCAGAAACACAGTCCTGGACCAGATACTTCAAACAACACATAGAAAGGAAGAAAGATAATATTGAAGTATCATTTCAACAAAACAAAACAAGCATCATTTCAACAGGAAAATAAAGAATAGTGTCCAACTATTGTATTCAGAAACTTCAGTCCAAATCTCATGTATTAATACAATTCTCCACTCATTGTTTTAGGTTACACGAAAAGGCTCAAACGTGAACTATTTTGTACATTTACTTCAAGATGTAATCCTCATGTTACAGTTGCCATCATATTACACTTCAAGAACAGAATCTAACCACAATAGGGGTTACGTCTATTCCCAAATCAACAATGATATAAATATCAGAACTCCATCACTGGGCCTTCTCAGATTCACATTTTGTTGGTGGTGAAACAAGAGTGCGCCAAAGGTATTTCCCACTTGCCATGTCCACCATCGTCCAGAATCCTGTTTTCAAAGCCGACCCAACCTACAGTTTCATGCAAAATTATACTTCAATAGAGAGAAAGTTATGTGGCAAGCAACGAAATAAAATCCAATATTATGCTGTAGCTTGGTTAGGAAGCATGAAGATATGATGCCAGCACCCATTTTTACTACATACATCAAAAGATTCAACACTGGAACAAAAACTGGGGCTCAAGACCAAATATGGCCCGTAATAATCCAGCTTCCGCGATATAGGACGATTCGCTTGCTATCTGACCCGAACCGCGCGAAATGGTCGCCAATTACACGGCTCACAAACTCTGTCTGGGGTGGGGCTACCTATTATTCGTAGGTGGTACGTACGGCGTTCTGATGCGCTCCACCCTGAAGAAAAAATCTTCTTCCGCTATAAATTTTTTTTTAAGAAAAAAAAGAGAGGGTTATAAGTTTGTGGGCCTGGAAATATAAATTTCAGGCATCGTCAACAGGACAACAACCCAATCTTTTCCCTAGTACTTCTTTCAACAATCCAGCATCTCCAGTGTATAAACTATTATGCTTACATAATCCATAAGGACAGGTTCACAATGTAAAACCATGATACCATGGTTTAACACAATGTAAGAAGCACTGCCAACTAGCCAACTACATGTCGCTGTTTAAGTAAGATTTGTTATCAAGCATACTGCAACTATAGAAATACTTCAAAATAGCTCATTTTTTAGTATGATTCCTGATAATTTGCATGCAGTTTTTTTTCTTTGGAATAAGAACAGGCAATATCTTTGCTTATCGTATTATAACAGTGGTTGCATATAAGTTTGGAATGGCGGGTGTTAGTTCCTTTTCAACCTCCAAGCTCTAGACAATCAGCAGGAACCAACAATACTGTACTGAAACATTTGTTCTAATTGTTATAAGGCTGAAAAAAATGACCGAAAATGAAGCCGTGAATCTAAAAATTAGCATGAAAGCCATTGGATTTTTTTTGTTGTTGCTGTGCATGAGTCGATTATGTGTAGTGAAGTACTGCTGTGAAAAAACAAAAACAAGAGAGAACATGTTGTGTGCACTAAAAAGAAACATATGGTTGTGATTTATCTGAAAATTAGGCATATGCCAGAAACATTTCCAAAGCACATGATTTTCGTCCCCTTTCATAGGAAAGTTAGCTAGAAGATTTCTTTTTTTTCAGCCGTAAGAAGAAAGCATTCCTAGAATCGCTAGCTTCCATATCCAGCAACAGCAAACTAGAAGTCAAAGACAAGACAATGTTGTGATTTGCCATATGAGACGGGGTACATGGGGCTCGTAGCAGGAATTAAGCAGTAGAATTGAAGCGTTAGTCCTCTAGCAAGGGATGTCATGAAACGTGTGTGTGAGGTAACCTAACCCAAGAATAGTATGGAGCGACCAAGAAAGAATGGTTTTTTTTCCCCTTTTTTTGGTTTGATTACCTTGGAATGGAGGGGCACGGGGGGCCTTTCCCTTGGGGATTCGGAGGCGTCGGCATCGTCGTGGAGGTCGGGATCGGCGTTGAGGCCCCGGATGAGGAAGAATCCGGCGATGGTGGCGGAGAGGAAGATTAGGATCACCCTCAGCGGGCACATTCTTCCTCAAATGCGGTGCAAAAATCAATGAATGAACCAAGGAAGGAAGGAGGCAAATCGAAAGGAAGGAGTGGATTTGGGGAAAGGGAGGATGGAGCAGTTGGGCCTCCCTTCCTTCTGTTCTTGACTCCCTAGCACGCCCCCACCTAACGCTGCGTTACCACCCTCTCCTCTCCTCTCCTCTTCTCCTCTTTCCTAGAAATATTAAACTAGTAATAACAAATCTTCTCAAGGGAAGGTGAGAGAAGATGAAGAACAAGGATACAAGCACGAGATGACGGCGCGGCGCCGTGCGCTGCAGCAAGAGGTAGGAGGCGAGAGGAGGAAGAAGAAGGTGAATTCTCAAATCGCAACGAGAAAGAGAGGAAAATGGAGATGGGATTTGGCAAGGAAACAAAAAGAAGAAGAAGAATTTATTTATGGGATTTACGCGGCCGAGGAGAGGGTGAGATGAGATGTCGTCAAAAGGGACGCGGTCCGCCTCTCTGGGCCCGCATGTCATTCTTTGTCTTTGTAACAGCCAAGCCAAACCAGCCCCCCTCTCTCTCCTGTTGACCTCTTCTTTTTTTTCTCTCTTTGACGCATTATGCAAACCACGTTGTTGTATCACTTGTAAAACTTTGAATTACATACTTTTCATTAAGCTATAACCCAATCTTTTTTCATATAATTCTTTACCACACCCATTTGGTTTTACACGAAAAGTTATTACTGCTAGTATACGAATTTCGTCCCAAAAATTTATTACCTAGAATGAAATTTGACACATCTTAACACAATAAATCTGGATTTTAGGACGGAACAAGTAGTAGACAGTGAAAAGAATTTAATAATTAATATATCTCAAGTGTTTGGGCTAAAGTAAACATATGGCCATGTGTCATTCATAGTCAGGGGAACCTTATCTTAGTATATGATTTTCATCCCTTTAGTCCTTTTAATTAATTGTCCTTGTTTTTTTTATCACTATATATGTCACAGTGGTCTCCACGTTTTCTTCCATGACGGGTAGAAAGCAAGTAACTAAATGAGCCTTTTACAAGCAAGATTTTCTTCTGGAAGATGGACCGCAAAAAAAATAAATTAGTATTCATTCATTAGTCTATCCGTGCATAATATCCTATTGTTGGTTTGGAAAGTCAACATGCATGTGCACTGGATTAGTGGTTACCAACTACGGAGTATTCTTAAATGAATTCCATCTTAAAAAGAACTACTACTGTTTGTCCTTTTTTTTCATCATAATGGGGAGCTCACCATTAGTGATTAGCCAGCTAGATATAGCTGCTGTTAATTCTTGAAGGCACACAGGGATACAGCCAAGTAGATTTGTTGTAATGAGGTACTCCTTGTTTATATACTACTACTAGGAGTACGTATATTGATGTTGGTTGTGTAGCTGAATTGTTCAAGAAAGAAAGAGCCAGCCGCATGATGCAAAATATTGAATCAGTACTCGATCGGTTGCAATGCAAGAGATTGAGAGTGTAAGCCATGTGCTAACTACCAAACTAACCTGGACAGAAGAGTACGTGACCTGCTCTGGACAGACCGATGGCATTTTTTTTCCCTGCAGTTGAGAAAATACAGGAGACAAACAGGGTAACAAGGTTTACCGTGGCGGTAACCTCCTTAAATTTAAAAAATAATTTAAATTTTTGATAAATTTTACATGGTTTTATACGATTTTTCACGGTTACCGCGCAGTAACCGTGCTTACCGCCGGGGCGCGGTAACCCCAGCCCCGGCGGTTTAGGAAACCCTGGAGACAAGCATCGATCCAACTGTACTTACTATCGAGCAAGCTAGTGTCGTTTTTCGGAGGAAAGAAAGAGAAGCATACGCTAGCGATCGGCATCAAGGATATATAATGCTTGTCTTTGTAAGCATGCTGTATCGATCATAGCATCAAGTTAATTGTAAGCTTGCTTCGTTTCTTCTAAGCATTTGTTTCTACTCGTTCGTAATAGTGACTTTTCTTTTTCTTTTTTTTTTTGAGAACTCGTAATGACTTTTCTTGCTGCTCCATCTCATTTCTCAGTTTTTATGTATTTCCACGAGCAGTCGGTCCATCGCTCTCAAGCTTGTGTGGGTTCAAAGTACACGCACCAGCCCACTTGAACATTTGCAAGAGACTCAGACAAGGGCCGCCCAACCAGATAGATAAGATACACATGCAGACATGCTTGTGCATCAGTCCAGGCGAATCCGGCGGCTACCCGGATATATCATCTGCTCCTTTTTCACAAGGGGATAATGATAGTCTAATCTCACATCTGCAATTCCTTTTCTTTTGACTGGGATACATCCACCCAACAACTCTGAGGACTTACTCGGTTCATAGGGTTTTCAAATCATTGGTAGAAAAAAAATGGGATTAGGATGACTCGTGCACTCCAATTCATAGAAATTTTTCCAAGAGATCACCCATAATATAAAAAAAAACTTATAGAATTAGGTTGTAAGAATAGATTCCTAGAATTGGATAGGATTTATTCCTATGAAATGAATGATGGTAAAAAAAAATTCCTAAGGTTTCAATTCATACAAAAAACCTTTGAAAATCCTTTAAATCGAATGCGGCACCGGCAGAGGCAGTGAGTGAGCTAGTGAGCTTTCATCATGCCGCAATCATGTCCATGAGCGCAACAAAATAGTTAGGCAGGCAGCTAGCTAGTGACCCACTTGCCCACACACCTTTGGTTTGACTTTTGTGGACCGACTGATGCAAAAGGTAACCATGCAGATTAACAAACCCAATACTAAAACTTTTGTTATAGAAATCAAGGATCGGCGCGCTGGATAGATAACAAGCACAAAAAATGCAGTCAATTAATGGGAACAGCACTTGCTCCACAACCATTCCTTCATTCTCTTCTCTCCACACCTCTCAGCAGACTGAAAGCAAAGGTCACACTGGAACTAACCAGTCCAACCACAGGGCAAACTAGGGAATCCATATCCCCCCAGTGAAGTGCTGGACAATTGACTGAACTATGATTTCACTAGTCACCACATTAATAAGAGCAAGTGATTGTGCACCATGAGTTCCCAGCCCATTTTGCATTGAATCCAAAAAAAAGGTTAAATGCGCCAAAACATCAGGTGAGAGACCTAATGCTAACGCATGTTAACAGGTAAGTGATACTAAATAAAAGGGGACTATCATTCACGTCCAAGGAATACAGTCCAACATATCACCTCAACTTCCTAAACTCAAATGAGGCAAGGAAGCATTGGCTTGACATTGTGTTCTATATGTTCTATGTTGTCTCTTTTTGATTGAACGACCAAACTGACTGTACATCAGGATTAGTTGAAAAAAAGCCACCGCCAACATGTGCCCCTGTTGATGAGCAAATCTTACTAGCTTCCTGAGGTCCATTCAGCACCACTGCCTCCCTGCATAAATCATAACCAGACAAAGTCTGAGTTCCACGAAGATGAACGAATCTGTTTTTAATAATGCATGACTAGTCAACAGATGTAATAAAAATTGAACCATCAGTTGCAGCATACAAATTATTATTAGTTGCCTAGAACAATATTTTCAACACCAAACACATGTCGAAGAATACCAGAAAAGTTCAGGTATACACAGTTCACCATGCAACTTCTGAAAATGCAGTACAGCCAAGAGCCAAGCCAACCATAAAATCCCAACGGCCACAAACCAAGGTGGGGAGGAAGGGGTAAAAGAACAAGGATTACACAATCATGTATTCCATTTGTATAGGGCCCTGTACTTAGTTCCAAGCTAGCAACTCGTCCAATCCAACTATTCGAGGATATATTCATGGTTTAGCTCAGACCATGTAAATGCAATTTCTTAGTTAATAGTTAGGCCCAAGGCATATATGTCAAAAAAAAAACTAAATCTCATATATGTTCAACCCACCAGAGCAGTACAGGCAAGGGAAAAAACGAATGGTGAATTTATCGGCAGTTTCAAGTGATGACAACAATAAACAATTCAAAACAACATCCACGTTAGCACATTGGAAACCCCTGTATATCACCTGGCCAGTGCATAACCCACACGTGATCTAGTAACTGTATTTACTGGTGCTTACTGCTTAGATAATGCAGCTAACTATCATCACATAATGCAGCCCAATGGCCACAAGTTGAATCCAGCAGATAAAGCAGCAAACTAAATGACTAAATCTTTGATTGCAAATATAACTAGTGAGAAAATCTTTGCACCTGGTTTCCAAAGGAACGTCCTTAGTGACTTTCAATTATTTGTTTACAGTTCAACAGGGTACCTTAAACCCCCGAAAATCAACCCGGTTAGAAAACAAGCATTTTTTTTGCTTTTAAAAGAAAAACAAATGGCAGTCTAATCACAAAAGCTTGTGTATTGATAACATGGAAGATAGCTACAAATTGCTAGAGAAACTGAACAGTGAGCGCATAACTGATTGCTCTGCCAAGTTGCCAACATTACATCAATCTATCATGCCTGCTCTATTTACATGGCAACAGTTCTGTATGTCAGAGACCTACTCCACAAAAAAACACCGAAGTATAAAAGCAAACCCTGTTAAGTTTTCATTATCTTGGACCTGATGCTTGGTCTTATGCCTCACGGCCTCATCTTTTCGTTTATGCTTATGCTTATCAGCCAAAATTTGAATTTTCAACCTTAAATTTGGAGCTGATTTTGAGGTTTTTTCATCGAAGTTTATTTTTCAGCCTTTGCTTTTAGATTGCTAAGAACACGTATATAAAAGTTTTATTCACAAATTGCTTTTCGTTTGCAAATATGCCGTTTCACTCCGTGAATAAGCAAAATAATGGCACCGTCAAACATGAAACTTGGTTTGTTTGAACTATAAAACAGTTTTTCCAACAAGCCAATAACATGCATCGTTCTGTCATTCACAAAAAAGTCAAAAGAGATGCAGGCAAACCAATCAACATTATGAACTGAACACATTTTCTAAACAAATGTGTCAGACATCTACAATGTAAAAATATATATATCCAAAAAACAATATTGATTTTTCTATGGTGAAACAACCAGTTAATAAATTTCACATAAACAACACTCATCCATCCATGGATTCAGGCGTGGTTCTTATCAGTTATTTAGTTTGGACAGACAGTCAATTGAACTCCACTCTCAACCATTGAGTAATATACAGTCCCACATCCCCATGCTGACCGCGAAACAACCCAAAGAATAGAGCCAGACAAGGACTGTTGAAACAGGTTCCAGATTGGCAGTACATTTAATTTCTATGGCGTCATCATTCCTTCTAGCTAATACTACTTCGGAATGCCAGTGGAGCGTCACCAAGAACCACTAGACATAATCCCTTATTTTAATATGATATCATCATCAATCCATAGTTCCATATTAAATATAGAAATATATAAGAATACATTCTTTAAAAGAAAGAACAAAGAAATATTCAAGTGTTTCATACAACAAATGCACAAACACATAATTGCATGCCATGTGATGTGTCTCTCATAAACAGAATCCACAGAAAACTTGCACCCTGTCACTAATGCCTCTTATTTGTCTAAAGCCAAAATAACCATCCATATAAGGATGCAACCACTGCAAGGCATGGTCAAACTGGGCCATGGTCCCCAGCTTTTGGGGGCAAAAATTGCTATTATGGAAATTTATGTATTTGCTCCCTTGATTCCTTCTAAATTGGAGACTCAGAGTGTATTGTTTGCTCTTAACTGGTATCACTCTTGCCCCATTTTTTATAGATAAAGTGGTAGCACCCATCCTAGTCATTATGACAAAAGAAATTTAGGAGTCCCCTATGGCATATGATTATTCCTTGTAAGAATACTCTGTGAATTTGATCTCATTTGGTCCTTATGTGTATTGATACACGAAGCTACATTCGTAATGATTTTTTATGACCTAAATGAAAATTATGCTCACATAATCAAAGTGTGGGGTAGGGTAATTCTGTTGTAAGTTATGACCATGTTTCTAGCTCAAACCAAGGTTATCGAATTGTTGTCTATAATGGAAGCAAATGCTTCATTGCTGCAGAAAATACTGAAAGCGGTACAAGAATGTCACAACATACTTACTTGGACCAAGAATGACCAGGTGGCCCAATGGGGTGCAAACGGGCTGATTTGTTTGGTGATCCAAAATCCAAATTGTTGTGTATAGCATTCTCTGAGACATCATGTGAAAGGAACAGACTCCTTGTATCAAGAGGCATTTGCTGGAAAGGCGCTTTCTGCAGCCATAAATCATTGTCATCCAAACCAGAACCCACTGAGCTTCTTGTTCCACCATTCAAATGACTGACACCATGGTTAAATTGATTTGCGTTTGGTAGGAGCCACTCAGTCTGAGGACCTCGTAGACCTAAACTTTCTTGAACTAATGGCGTGCCCCACATTTGCCATGTGCCCCCCTGTTCATTGCTAGCCTCAGGCAAAATAGAACCATTAGGCCCTTTTCCAGTTGAGTGCCTAATAGGATTATCCTCGAATGTACGTGATCTTGAAAGAGGAGATTCGATTGGTGAAGGCTTCGTATGTGTTTCCTTGGTGATGTCACTAGAGATGAACCCGCTATCCAAGTCGAGAGGAAAGTTATCTAGGGACTCTGAAACTGGCCCAAGCAACGCAATTGCATCAGGATCATAGCATGGGTCCTCAAATTGTTCTGGTTCTTCAAACACTGTTGGTTCTGGCTCACAATAGTAGGGCACATGTCCAGCTGGAAAATGAGAGAGTGACATGTTGGCAGGTGCTCCATTCACTGGTGGAAAACCTGGAAATTGCATACAGCGGCTTGAACTAGGGTTACTGTCCAGAGGGGGATACTGCGATAGGAAGATTTGAGCATTGCTAATTTGTGCTCCATATGGTTCTGGTTGCCCGTTCATTTCACGGGCTGCAGCAGGAACATCAGGACAAGGTGACACAGATGCTGAGCGACTAAACAGCTGGTGCCATGACTTTTTAAGGCCAGTAGGCTGTGACTGCACATTTGGACTAACCTGCATAAAAGCATAACAAAAATGCAAATGGTATTTGTAAGACGATAGTCAGGGTGAAAACAATTAATGACATATGTCGTAATCGTAACAGATAGACTGCTGCAGCAATTAATAATGCCTTTGTTACTCACAGGTCGATGAACATTAGTCCATGAATTTGTCGTTCCTCCAGCAGTAGCAGATTTGGCTGTTGCAGGAGGTTGGGTATCTCTTTTGACTACATTACTCTGGTCAGTTACAGTAACAAGCGGTTTAGTCACCTTGTTAACTTGAGGAGCAGAGGTCTGAGCACTTCTACCAAAAAAGGAGCCGCCACCAAAACCTCTTGAAGAAGATAATAGACCGCCTGTCATACGGCCAAAGTACTTTGCCTTGCTCTGTACTGTCTTACTACCCTGGTTGTTAGCATCAAAATTATAGGGCTTATGACCCTCAGCGCCAACTCTTGTTGCATCCCGCTTCTCTGGCTCATTTCTTCTATCAGAATCCCGCTTTCTCTCCCCTTCCCTGGTTACTCTTCTCTCGATATCCTCGCAATCTGAATTGCTCTTGCTTGATCCCTTATCCTTCTCGTCCTTCCTCCTCCTCTCCTGCCGTCTACGTTCCACTTCCTTCCGAGGATCCTTCTCCCCAACAGGTGTGGCGCCTTTGGATCTCTCTTCAGCCTCTGCTTTCTCATCCCTTAGCCTCCTCCGCTCCTCCACGAGCTTTGCCATCTCCTCCCGTTGCTTGCGTTCCTCCTCCTCTAGCATTTCCTTCTCCAGCCTCGCCAACCTCTTCTCCTCCGCCTTCCTTTTCGCCTTCTCGACTCTGCTCTCCTCAGCCTTTGCTCCGTTCTCCCCTTCTTTTGCTAATCTTTTACCATCTCGGCCCAAGCCATCGCCGTCCCCCGAGGAGCCAAATCTGAGCACTTCCCTCCAGAACCACCTCATGCTGACGCAGAAGGAAGAGAACAAGCGCCACGAGAACCCCGAGTACAGGTTATCGGAGGAGCAGCGGAGGTCGAGCCAGTAGGCAGGGTCACCGGCAGCATTTGGCCAATCCTGGGTGCAGGGCCAGCCGGTGGGGAGGGTCCCGGCAGGGCCGAGGTCGAGGACGGGGCGCTTGGAGACATGGCCGCAGTAGGAGCACATGAACTTGCCGCCGCCGGGGTTCTGGTCGCGGTAGGGGTTGTTGCAGTTGCGGCAGCGGCGGGTGGCGGTCTTGCGGAGCTTGTGGAGCTGGAGGGCGTGGGCGCGGCGCTCCTCGCGGAGGCGGGCGGAGCGGCGGGCGCGCCAGAGGGAGAGGCGGGGGAGGAGGATCTCGTACCAGAAGAGGGTGAGGAGGAGGACGGAGACGCAGGCGAGGCGAGGGGAGGTGACCTCGAAGCGGTAGGCGGCGGGGAGGAGCTGGGAGAGCGCCCAGAGGAGGATGAGCGGGAGCACCAGCCATGGCAGCATGGTGGCGACGCGCCGCGACCACCGTTGCACGGCGCACAGTATACACATTATCCGCCCACCTCCGCCTCCGCCGCCGTACCAATCTCGATCGCCAGCGCCGCCCCTCTCAATCTCAAACCCTAACGGACCCAAGGGAAGAAGAAGCTTGCTGGGTCGGGAAGATTGCTGCGATGCGAAACGAAACCCTGAAATGGAGGGGGGGAACCCAATCAAATCAATTGAAGGACGCGGATGCGAGATGCTGTCCTTGGCTTGGGGGGTGGGAATACGGGATTAATTAGGAGGAGTCGGAGAGATTGGGAATGGAGAGGGGGAGCTCGAGGTGGTGGGTGGTAGCCATGGCGAAAACCCTAGCCTAATTTCCTTTCGGATTGCCTTCCCCTCTTCCTCTTCTTTTTTTTTCTTTTTTCTGTTCTCGCGAGGCAAGGGATAAAGCGTCTCGACGCAGCTGCTGCCAGCGTCTCTTCTTCTTCTTCCCTTTTCTTTTTTCTTCCTTCTTTGCCATTTTTGCTTTCTTTCCTCTGGTTAATTTTGTGTCGCTCCCTCCTCATGTTTTGCTTCTCCTTACTCCGACTACTAGTACTACACAATTAAAAGAAAACACAATATATAATTTTTTTAACATAGAAGTTGTATTGAAAATTTTTCAGATTTCCTAAAAGTTTCGTATATTCTAGAGTATGCTTATGTGCTTTGTCTCAGCCTTTGACTATTAATGCAACATTTTATTCTTGTTTTAATAGTTGTTTTCAATTCAACTAATATTAGCATATACTAGGTTCTTCCAAGCTATTCATCATAGTACTTTCTTTTTATCCTTATCCTTAGCTTTACTTTCTTTATAGAGCTTCCTTTTTTAAGAGATCAAGAAAAGAATGTGAAGTACTGTAGTTCTCCCTATGTGTATAACTAAAAGTGAGTACATGTTTGTTCTTCTCTTAATTTAAGAGTATAGTATTTACATAGTAGTGTATTACAAGTCAGTGAAAAGAATATATAAAAATAGGATTCATCTCCTACACCAAGAAAGAAATAAGGCTGCCAGTTAAGATCTTGTTTATAAATGCAATATTTGGATATCATCATATTTTTAAGTGTATCATACTACCATGGTCCTAAATATTGTTTTAATTATATTAACATCCATAGTATTAATGTATTATAACACCTATTGAGTAATTAAGCACATGCTTTCTAAAAGTGTACACAAAATGTTCACTTTCCATTGTTAAATCAAAGTGTTTGTCAAATACTATGGGTTGCTTTCAAGAAAGAGAGTCTAGTATTTAGTTTTATTGTCCAATATATTGTCCTAGGTTTTGAAATGGAACCATTTGTTATGTTAGAATGGCCACCTTGCCTATCACACACTCATAGTTTCTTCAACATGAAGTTTTCTCATGCTCATGAAATTTTCTCTTATTTATTGTAGTATGTGTTTTCTATAGAGAAAGCTTATGCTTACAATTAGCACTATCAATAAGCAAAAGCAAACCAAAATGAAATAAAATTTAGGTGGTGATGTTGTGAAATCGTGTGGCTGCACACTAAAAACATATATCAACGTCGATTATAAATGTATACATAAGAAGATTATACTCTTTTGATTACTTAGATGCACATAGTATGCACTAACGACATAATCAAACCTAAACTAGTTATGAGAGGGAACCTATTTAAAGACAACTTTTTAGTGCGTATCAGAGATATTATCCTTCAGGCAGGATTAGTAGAGATCGGGAATGGAGAAGGGGGAGCTCAGGAGTCAGGATGTAGCCATGGCAAAAACCCTAGCTTAGCCTTCGGGTTGCCTTGCCCCCTCTCTTTGTTTTTCTTGTCTTATTTGCCTTTCTATTTTTTGTCTTCTCTTCTTGCAAAGCATGGGATAGAGCATCTAGACGCAACTCCATCTTATCTCTTCCCATTTATGGTCTTGACATGAAAACGAATGGAGGGTTAAGATAAAATAAGGTAGAATAAATGGATGGTTAAGATTAAACGTTTTTCCAATGAACCGTATGAGACAATGCTCATCTCATCGAATATATCTAAAAAGGATTACATCCTGGAATAAAAAAAAGAGAAAAAAAATAGTGACTACATAAGGTTAAACTATAGCAAGTGCTTCTCTTTGGCAAACATCAACATTGTCACATTCTGTTTGATTTTTGCAAAAAGGCTAGATAACAATGTTTTCTTCTCCTGGTGCTCAAACGCTCTTTGATTCTTGCTTTTCAGATACCTACGTGATTAATAAGACGAGTGTGCACCTTCCCCTTTGGGAGGGGCTTGGGAATTTTGCTAACATCGCCCAAGATTTCCTATACCTTGTAGCTAGGCTTCTACTAGTTGGACGCAAGCTTTTGGCACGCCACCCGATTTACCTATCATACGGTTATAGTTTCTTCAATATGAAGTTCCCCATATTCATGAAGTATTTGTTTTTTTTGAAAATGTGTTTATGCTTACTAATTACCACAAGTAACATTAAGTCAAAAGGAACAAAATTTCTGTAGACGAAAGAGATATATTAGTGTCTATTATAAAATGTGTGACGAAAAAATATACTTGTTACACTCATTGATTACTTGGATCGAACCAACGGTTTTTAATTATTTCTTAATATCTCTCTCTTTAAAAAAGAGCAGGGGACGAGATCCCATTAATACACGAAATACTCTATGTGCTAATGTCATACCATCGTCAACACGATAGCTTGGTATGTTGTACTAAACCTAATATGGTACCAAGTATGATACTTATAGGTAATATATTAACATCAAAACGATTTCGTAAGTTATATCGGAGGCACCAAACATAGTATAAGTAATCAGCGTAGTATCTACTAAATATTATACTGAAAGTTATCGACATATACTCTTTTGTAAGATATAGTATTTCTGTTTTTTCCCAATGATTGCCATATGAATTTTAACCCTCAAAAATAAAATATGTGTAACTGCATAGTGCAGTAGTAGACCAATCTGGTTGATTGCGTCGTATAACAAAATTCTTTTCTTCTAATATATTGACGTGCAATTTTTTTACGCGTTCGCGAAAAAAGAGTGCGGTTGTGGCATGAATATTTACAGCAAAAATGCTTTTTTTTAAAAAAAAAAAACAATTCCTTGTAAATATTGGCATTTTCTTGGCTGCGTGGTCTCGTGGGCATCGTCCCAAGTCGCCGGGATCCAGAAGCCGCGCCAAATCCGGCCGGAATCCCCACCTCCACCACCACCACCACCGGCCGGTCTCCTTTCTGCTTGCCTCGCTCTCTCGCATCGTCGCATTGGTACATCAACATCCTGCAAACATGGCCGCCATGGCCACCGCCCCGTGTTTCCCGGCCACCCCGGGACTCCCAGCGCGCGGCGCCGTCGCTGCTAGGAGCAGGATGGCCGCCGGAGGAAGCAGGAGCCAACGGCGGCGGAGTTCCTCTGGGGTTTTCCTGTGCCGCTCCTCCACGACGGGAAGCAGTAGGATGGAGGACTACAACACCGCCATGAAGAGAATGATGCGCAATCCCTACGAATACCACCACGATTTAGGTCCGTACCAATCATTTTTCCTCGTATACGCGCTTTTGATGCTACCTAGATAATGATTCCATTTCGGGATGGGGATTGTTAATTTCGTCCCGCCGAAACGATTGATTTGGTCCGTGCACGCGTTGTCTTGCTATAGCATTACTGCGTTAGTGCGCTTATATCAGTTGATGTTCGATTGTCCCGTCCCATCCATGATGCCTGAGTAACGCGTATCTGTGTTATGAAGGTTTTCTTGTGTGGATGTTAGAAATCCTAGACTGGACACAATCAACATTTTGGTAAAGATTCAATCTTGTCCGAGGAAATTTGGGTTCTTTCCTGAGTCAGGCCTGGGGAAATGTCAAATCAGTGAGTACACTGTGGGAGATTTCCTGTTACCATTAGAAAAAGAGAAAAAAAAAAGAAGATTGTGGGAGGTAGGTCAAGTCTAGATTTGGTGTTCTGTTCTATCCATCTGTGCGATGTTGCTTATGATGTATCATGGTTCATGTTCAGTACTAAGTTTGCTACAAATGTAAGTAGTCGGTAATGGTTTGTGATGATTGTCAAAAACCATGGTATGTAAAAAGAAGCTAAACATCCTGTTTACCGAGCTGAGACTTTTTTAATTACCATTTGTTTCATTTTCTCTTTGAGCGCTCTTTGCTGTAATAGCTCCTATTGGCTAAGGTAGGACTTCTCTCCTTCCTGTGTGCACCCCCGGTGTTCGTGTTGTGTAACTTAAATGCTTTCTTCTAATTGAATGACACACATTCCTTTTGTGCGATTGCAAAAATAGTTAGCAAGTTGCAGTAATTGTGACCATTTCTATCCTTCTTAGTCGTAATAAGTATCATTTATTTGAGCATTGTGCTGGGCCTTTCTCTGTCAAATTTGCATTGATTTCTTTTAGAAAGGAGGCCAAGGGCCCTGCATTATATAGAAAGCAATAGAGGTTTACATAGGTTTAGCTGAGACTCCAGCTTACACAGCAGAGTGCATTACATCCACCCTCTGGTGATGGGGAGAAAACATTCAGACAAAAACCCACTGCAACAATTGCTGACCAAGTAACTCACACCAGCCAACGTCGACAACTGAAATGCAACAAAAACTAAGCTACCAAACTAGTAAACTAGCCAATCCCTACTCTTTCTTGGCGAAGGTTGTTGATGGCCTCACGAAAGCACCGGCCAGTGTCTCCAAGGTTGGAAGTTCTTCAGGTTTCAGGAGTGGCTTCCACTGTAACAACAGACAAATAATGCGAAGAGGAATTGTTAGCGGTGTCAAGATGAGTTTGCTTCTAAAAATCATATAAATTCTGACAGACCAAAGCAACCAACTCACAGCCACCGGTAACATGTATTCAACTCTAGTTTTTTTTTGGAGCTATCATTCCCAATGACCATGGTAAAGAAATTCTCAAAATCTCGAGGTATTCTTTGGGCATCTAAAGCAAATGTGCACAGAGGTCTCAATTTCACCACACAATTGACAAAACTCTGATCCTACCCAACTTCTCTTCTTCAGTTGTGCAGATGATTGAATCCTATCTCTAATAGCCAGCCACATGTAGTGTTTTTGTTTTGGGGGAACAAGGCAACTCCACAGGGCTTGCATTCTTATATGTACCACCCCTCGAATAGTGATCAAATCTGCATTGTTGATCTGCATGGAAAGTACTTCTGCATTTTTTGGTCATCTTAAGGGGCTTGAGGGCTTTGGTGGTTTAGTATTTTATCTTCATATGGCAGTTTCACTGTGTTACCCTAAACATAACTATTTGAGAATCACTTACATAATAATGAAAGTTACACCATGATGTGAAAAATGTATCCTTTTAAGATGGTACAGGCCCTTATCTTTTGTACATTAAATGTTTGTGAAATATCCATTCTTTGATAAGTTTTATGAAAGTTCTTGCTGAAGATATAGCAATTTGATGTGGAGATAAACATTGGTGTCATACTTTGTCATGACTTAATTGAATTGCACAGATTGCTTTAATTATTTTTATAAGTCACTGAAATAGATATGGCAATTAACCGGAGCAAAACAAAATCCCTACTTTGTGTTTATGCAATTCTTACTCAATTACTTGTGGAATGTAGGTATGAATTATGCTATCATAAGTGATAGCTTGATTGTTGGCTCACAACCTCAAAAGCCAGAGGATATTGATCACTTAAAAGATGAGGAGAAAGTAGCCTTTATTCTTTGCTTACAGCAGGACAAGGACATTGAATATTGGGGCATTGATTTCCAAACTGTTGTCAATAGGTGCAAAGAACTTGGCATAAAACACATCAGAAGACCGGTGAGACGATTATTTATGTACTGAGCTAGTATCATGCTTAATTTGCTTATGAAATTCTGACTCAAACAAAAATGAGCATTTTACATTTCTACTTTCAAGCTTGATTAACTTTTATAGTGTCTGATCTTTTGCACCGGTGCATTTTTTTATTCATATAAGCATGACAAATGAGCTAAGAAGTTGTTTAATGAGAAAATATGGTAATTGTTCTTTTACTACAATGAGCACAGCTGGCCTTGTCCTTTGCATTGGACTTTATAATTCATTTGAGATAATCACAATTCATTTCCGCCTAGCAAGCTTTCATATTTCCATTATATGATGAAATAGGTGAGCAATATGAAATATTGACCTCCAACATTTTACATCAGAAGAGCATAAAGAAATGGTATGCTGCTATCTTTGAGTGCCAAAAGTAAACTATAGAAGTCTAAGAAATAATTAATTCCAATGAAGCTAGTCCAAGTTTTTATTATGAAAGTGAGTTAAAAGCTTGCACTTATTTGGTTTCAGGCAGTGGACTTCGATCCAGATTCGTTGAGGACTCAATTGCCCAAAGCAGTCTCATCACTAGAATGGGCTATATCGGAAGGCAAAGGGCGGGTCTATGTCCATTGCACTGCTGGACTTGGGAGAGCACCTGCAGTTGCCATTGCTTACATGTTTTGGTTCGAGAATATGGATGTAGGTTTCATCTTCTTGAAATCTTAACTTGTCAGGGTTATAAGCCAGGCCACATTCTTATCATTTATCCTTTGCTTGCAGCTTAGGACAGCTTATGAGAAGCTAACTTCCAAAAGGCCCTGCGGACCCAATAAGAGAGCGATCCGTGCTGCAACTTATGATCTTGCTAAGAATGATCCACATAAAGAGTCTTTTGACAGTCTGCCAGAGCATGCTTTTGAGGGCATTGCTGGCTCGGAGAGGAGTTTAATTCAAGAACGGGTCCGTGCTCTTCGGGAGGCTTGAGAAGTAAATGAAAACTTCTCCACATCCTTCTATTCAAGCCTACAGGTCAGGAAATGCAGTAAACATATGATAGAACTAAATAAACAAATCTGCGCAAATTGAATTCATTATGGAACAGACAACAGCAGAACCTTAGCTCCTCTAGTAGTATTCTTCTTTGCTGCCAGATTGCTAGCTGGTGCAGATGAAGAGGTTCTGATTCACCTATCCTCAGAATAAAGCTCAGACAAGATCTAATTTAGTAGGTATCTGGTAATAATAAGAATGAAAAAATAAGGAGGTGCCAGAAGATGGCATTGCTGCTCTGGATGATCTTGGTTCTTGGCTGCAATTGCATAGTCTTAATGGCGACCAGTTGTGTAATTGGGAAACTCACACGTACATAGTGCCTCGTATATTCAGAGTATCTTGAGACTGTCACTTTGCTCATGTGTACGGCTATTGCTGTTGAAAGTGAAACACATACTATTGCTGAAAGTGAAAATTCATCATATCATCGCCAAATGTGATGTATGCATGTTCAGAGGTTGACTGCGGATGTTTAAGTTTACTGATATTTATGTTTTCCTGTCAATTTGATTATTATAACAAGTAATGTTGTAGACAAAGCATTCCATTCCTACTGGAATTTTGCTGTGCAGTTGACCTGTATTTTCAGTTTCCTTATTGTCCCAAATTTCACTCTCTTTAGTTGTGGAGAAAGAATACTTGATGAAATGACTTACATATTTTTTCCCTATAAATAAGAAATAAACTCTTACACCACGCATGATGTACCAACCTATCTTATGTAGTTATATAGCAGTGTGGTAGCTAACGCCGTGGTTTACTGAAGTACAGGCCCAGCTGTTTCTGAAAACACAACCCTCAAGACCAACAACAGCTTTGTAAGCTTAAACTGAGATACTGAATCATCAGTAACCTTTGAATCGATCTTATCGTGAACCATCAAGGCGACATTGCTGCATATTAAGAAAACAACAACAAGAAAAACATTAGAACGCAAAAAAATCAAGAATGAGCAATGTGTGAATTAACAGGAAACCAAGAGAGCAAATTCAGCAAGAACCTGAAGAGAGCGTCGACCAGGAGTCAGGAACACGGGAGAGCACCGGTGGGTTAGGCTGCCCGGCTGCCATAATCAATCAAAGAATCAATAATATATCAGTTTTTCGTCAGAAAGGAATTCATCTGATAAAAATTTGAGAATGATGAATGAATGAGTGCAAGTGAAGGTAAGAACTGACTGAAGCAGATGAAGAGGACTTGAGGCGGGAGGACGAGGCCGCAGGCGATGGGGAGGTACATCATCCTGACGGGATCCACCGGCTTGGGCAGCATCCGGTTGACGTCGCCGAGGATCACCGGGCACAGGCACCTCAACGTCCGGTCACCCTCAGCCGCCGCCGCCGTGCTGTTCAGGAACATCCCCAGCCCGCCGCAGCACTCGCTCGCCGGCGTTGGCGTCTCCGCCTCCGCCCCCGTCAGGAACGACGCGCACGTCGTCAGCCCCGCCAGCGACGTCACGCAGTCCGGCGCCGACGACGACGAACCGCCGCTGCCCGGCATGCCCGGGATCAAGGTGCCCGGCGGCGTCGTCTGCGACGACCTCCCGCACGGCGGCGGCAGCGCCCCCGCGGGTGGAGACAGTGGCAGACCGGGGACTGACGACGACGACGACGACGGTGGTGATGGCTTCGGCGGCGCCGCACGCGGCGACGGCCTGGCTCCGGGGAACCCCGGGAAGCGCTGGCGGCTTCCCGGGAAGCCGGGGAAGCGGAGGACGCGGGCCTCCGACGAGACCAAGGCGGCTGCCTTCCTCCTCGGTCTCATCGCTTCCGACGGCGTCGCCATCATCACAGAAGCAACCACGACGAGCAAGACGACGGCGGCGCGCTTGGATGCCGGTGACGCCATCATCTTCTTCTTCGCTTGATCAATGATGAGCAATTACCTAGCTAGTGTTAAGCACTAGCTTAAGCACTTAATTAGTGACTAGTATTAAGCACGAGAGGCTCGCAGCTTGATGATCCGGCGTGGCGCGCGTACCGATTTATAACTCACTCGGGGGATTCTTCGCGCGCAATTTTAAAAAGGGTTAGCACAAAGATCATGCAAGGCAATATTCATTCTACTCTCCACCATTCAATCTTGGTGCTCTCGCTTTGCAAAGAAAATAATAAGAAATGCAGCTTGTCTTTACATGTAAACATGATCAATAAGTTATCAGAAGGTGCCATGGGAGCACTTCTGTAGTATCAATTTGACAGTAAATTGTACAAGCCTGCAGATCATATTGAGTTCGCAAAAGAAGCAAAAATGCCCAACAAATCCAGCCTTGTTTTCTCATTAGCAATGTAACAAGTCACATGCATTGCCGTGTGCAAGACAGTATTGTTTCTAACAATAGATGCAGAGATCACATACTCATCTGTTATTCATCTAGTCATACAGCATTCCTTCTTTCTCTATACATGTCGTATCCTTCCTGTAGTAATCCTAATGCTATATTGAAAGCAAAAAAGTTTCTTGATAAATCTTCTATTAATCTTACAAGGCAAAAGGAGTATCAACGCCAATGGCAACCTGACTTGTCGATGTGCCATATTTCTTTCTGCACTCTGGTTACTTACAGTGTGCATTTCTGTGGGTACGTGCAGCAGTTCCCCTTATCAAGCATTTGTGTTAAGAACACTACAAGCGAATAAGTAAGCTACAATCACCTTTACTATAGGTAACCAAGTACCTATCTAGGAATCTAAGATGCAAAAGAAGCAACCTGAACCTTGACAAGGTTTGTCTGGAGCCGGCCCAAATGAAATGCTGTGAGAAGCCACACGAAGCAGAGCTGTTATCAGAAGGGAGAAAAATAGTTCTTCAGTGATATATGCAATCCTATGTGGTGATGGGGTACAAATACAATGACTGAAACCATGACACATACCGGCAACGCGTAAAGGGTGACCATGGATGCCTTCTTCTCAAGGCTGCTGAACAACAAACTGTATATTCCGGCAGCTGTTGCATCACCAAGCCTTTGAACAACAACATCTATACAAACCTATTAGAATTTATATTCATTAGTTAAATAGTCAAAACTGAAATTGGTCATACATTTGTGAACACGTATTTAATATGATTTCAAATATAAGACTAAGAAGGCAACTGCAAAACTGACTATTTTTCTATTGATAGCCTACTTAATCTGGAAATTCAACTTCAAATTTCGCTGTTAATCACCCACTCTCCATTTTAAGAGACAAGGCTAACTCTGATGTGTCTAGGTGAATTCAAAACAGAGCCAATATTGAATGGCCAATTTTTCTAAGGAATACCATTGTGCTTCCCTGTGCAGTGCGTGTGTGTGTGTGTGTGTCTGTGAAACAACAGCATGGAAGATAGAACACACCACGTGTTGATGTGTATATGTTTGATATCTACCAGAGACATGTATAACACAATGCAAATTGATGAAAATTGGTGAGCAATCCAGGGATTAGAAATTTTGTTAGTTCTCTGCGGTGAATGATGATGTGTACTACTGGCACAACTCATCTATCGCATTCAAGCAAATGTATTCTTTCGTTTCTTATTGGTCACTAAATTCAAATAGGTAGCCGCATATCTTTTACCTTCGCTTTGTACTTCTCATCCTGTGAGACGACTGTGAATAGCAATTCCCTTCCAGGTCTTGTCAAAACATAAGTAGTTACCTACAGAGAATAGAAGATGAGACTGGGAAAGCAGCAATTTAGAGCTAACATTCAAAACCCTAAATTGCACAAAAATGGATTATGAGTGCTTAGATATCCTTGGCGTGCAAAAATTCTAGATAAAATTCAAATTAATGTGTCTCAGCTCTCAAATATGAATATCCAGGTGGTAATGAATGCTCACATCTAGATATGCATATTTATTTGTATGTGACTTTTGGAAAGTATCATTTAATGGTAAAAAACGGTTATTACACCAAAAGTTACAATCATAGCTCCCTGGTCTATATGTACCTTTCGAATTGTTTCAGTGACAGCAACAGCAACCCAAGTTGGCCATAGAGCAAGGGCAACCATATTCAATGTGGCAATGAATGGGGATGCACAGATAGCAACTGTTACACCAGCTACGGTAAGGATACGACCCTGAAATAGTTGTTTAATTCATAACAGGAGTCAGTAAAGAAATTTCAAGAATCCTCTTTTTCTTTTTCAAAATGAAAGAAGAAAACAAAATTAGCAAAACTTCTTCCGTTATTGCAGTTTTCTAGCAACGTGTTGGTTAGGACATATTTTTAAATTATATTGTTTTTGTCAATGCTAATAAGTTGCTCAGTACTTGGAATGTAGTGATGTAGACATGCACTACATCATTTTGACTACATTGTAATGAACTATTCCCTTCTTTTGATGACATGAGATGCGAATTAGCTCTGAATTGTCAAACTGAAGAACATATGCGTGTATGAGAATTATATCAGAATTCAGAAGGAAAAACTATTGAAATTTTTACACATTCTTGTCTTCAAAAGAACAAAGGAAGATATCACTAAATAATAAGTTCAAAGTTGTATGAGAAAATATAAGCACTCTGGGGATACGCATGCATGCTCAAATAGATGTTAGAAATGAAGCTGAGCTTTCTAATTGACAAAAATGTATCCCCAACAATATAATTTAGATACGCATGCAATTTAGATAAGCACTCTGGGGATACGCATGCATGCTCAAATAGAAAACTGCAATATAATTTAACATCTAAATGTATCCCCAGAGTGCTCATTAGGAGAGCCTAATGAGTCAAAATGTTCAGTTTGCAACATATAAAGCTACTTCACCATGATGTACATCATAGTGGTCCTGTGCAGGACAATTTGTCAGGTTAAGATTTATTAGGAGTACTTAATAGTAAAACCAAGGACAATCTGGAGATGGACAAATACCGTCAAAGTGAGTTGCCCCGCAAGAATAAAGACAGCGATAAAGCTGTTTATGAGTGCAAAGGTTCTTCTTCTGGCAGTTGGGCTTGATATTGTTGTAGCAACTATCGTCACTTTCTGGAAATAAGGTAAATGCAAATGGATGGTAAATGGTGGATCCTTCCAACGATGTAACTAAGGAAGCAACATGGTCACAGTGATGTGGAATTTATTCATGTCAATAAACATATATAGAAGAACCATACCTGGAAGTAAAAGAAGGACGACACAACAGCGCTCAGCCACAAAAATAGAGATATATACATCAGATAGGAAGAGCGTGCAATCAGCCAGAAACCTTCAAACATCAAAAAAATCTCAGGTTTGGTTTTGTGAGATTCGGAGACTTGGGATGGTGATCCTTGTGAAGTGACCAGAGAAGACATTTCATCATCAGCCTCTGTATTTTGGCTTTGTTCGGCTCTGCAGTTAGTTAGGATGCAATCATAAGCAAAACAAGAAATCACCAAAATACCGAATCAAATAAGCAGCAGGCAATCTATCTGTATTGCTATGAGACGTTCAAACTAACAAAATCCATTCAAGAGTTTTGAGGTTGGTTATAAAAGAAGGAATTCACAAACTATACTGTAACTTAGGTTTAAAAATGAAAGTAAAACCGGACATTAATCCGTATAGATGATACGGTTTGCCCGTGTCATAGTTAACAGTCATAGATAAATCAGGATATTGCAAACCATGTCCAGAAGGATACATACATTGTAGAAGACAGTTCCATTGAACTGTGAGTATCATCAGTGCAGATTCCTTTCGATGACAGTGCAGCAAGTTCCATCAATAGGGATGAAAACAGGAGCAGAACTGAGGCACGTTTCGGAAATGTTAAAATGCATTCCAGAAATTTTAAGTCAGGAACTCATTTTCTTATTCAGAAAATCATACGTACAGGGCCCTAGCCATGCCATAGTTGCAGCAAATAATGAACCAAAAAGTTGCCCGAGCGTAGCACCAGCCCCAATAAAACCAAACAATCTAGAACCTGACTGAATTAAAAGAGTAATAAGGATATCAGAAGCAAAAGTAATCAGTTGTAAGTAATTGCAAATAAGTTTTAGAGCAGCTATAAATGATACCTCATTATCCATGACATCAATTACTCTTGCCCATGTTGATGATATTGCAATGAGATTAAGCAAGGAAACCTTCAAATAGACACAATTACTCAAATCAATAATCACTTTGAGAATTAGAATAAATGAACATGCCCATGTCGCATGAAAAGTCATACCCAAAGAAACAAGCTTATTCTCACTAATATGTAGAACCAACTGTGGTTTCCCCATCCAGGAGGTTTATTTGAAGCATCTTCGCTTGACTTGATTTGTACACCAAGAAACAGAGAAAAATTAGGAAATTCAGGGGGACATACGAAGCAGCTGAGTGAAAATTCATGGTACGGTAATTTTTCCCCTTCACAATTTCATTGAAATTTAACAACTTTATTGTACATAATTGCAAAATAACCAAGATTAATAGCAATGTATATTACCTGGGAGATAGAAGGGGAATGCCCAGGGGTAGAGGCAAACCAAAGAACAAAAAAGACAAGAAGGGACAAACTGAAGAACCTGTGTATGAAAACCAAAGCCTGAAATTAAAGAATATAGATGATAAAATTAGCTTATGTCAGTGAACAAGAAATAACTGCAAGGAAATTTGTAGCCCGTAATGTTCTTCAGAATGTTTGGAATTCTTAAAATGTAGACCTCATCATCGATAAATAAACGGAAGAAAATTGAGGACAAGAAACTGGTATTTAGTCAAGGAAAAGCTAGCTGAACCATCTTAGATTAAAGGGGTTTACTGAAGAGATACCCAAATTATTGCAATACCATGGTAAATATACAGAAGTTCCCACAACACAGACCAGAATTGTTTTTTTTTTCTTCTCAACAGACAGAAGAATACAAATTCAATTATTAACATGGTACTCTTAAGTAATTCATCAACTGTTCCAGTCATACAGAAGGCAAAGCTAGCATCTTGATCAATTGAAACAAACTAAAGGTATATTACTTTTAACTAGTGAAACACTAAAGCAAGAACAATTCAATCATTGAAATAAATGAGTTGAGTAAGCATAATATTCCTTCAAGTTTAAGAAGTGTGCCTACGTCTGAACTTAGAGCAAAAGCAAGTTTTCATCTGAACCAATTCAAGTTTTCATATTCGTTAAGAAGAGTTTTCATACTTGTGAGAATGTAATGCAGGTGTTGCGTGATTGACTACAATAAATGTGTAAAAAAAAATTGCGTTGGCAAAGGTACAAAGCATTACCGAAGTTTGCATCTGAGAAATCTAAGTGGTTGACTTGTGGCATAAGAAGCAAGGTAATAAAAATAGATAATGTAAGTGAGGAAGAAAGAGATTGATACGGACCCTGGGTTTGGGGATGGATGGGAGGGAGAAGGCGAGGGAGGCGACGGGGGCGGCGACAAGGGTGAGGAGGAGGGAGCCGGCGAAGAGGCCCGGGAGGGTGGAGAGGCCCAGAGAGATGGCCCCCTCGTCCCGCAGCGGCAGCACGACGAAGTAGGCGCTGAGGATCTGCACAGCCATCAGCCATAGACGAATCAAGGAAATGAAATGAGAAGAAGCAAGAAGCAAGAGAGAGAGGGAGGCATACGATACGTACGAAGAAGAAGGTGGAGGCGGCGCTGATGAGCGGGGAGATCTCGTGGGGGAGGACGGCCACCACTGACGCCACCGCCGCATCCCGGAGCCGATGACTCCTCGTCGTCGTCGTCGTCATTCCAATCCAAACTCCGTTGTCTACTCTGCTTTGTCCTCCGGGCAAATCTAATCAAACAAGTCTCACACACACAATCACCAGACCAACTCCGAGGTTGACGTCGTGTGTGTGTTTTTCCTTTTTCTTTTCATTTTGACGAGAGAGCGAGAGCGAGAGAGAGGCTGTTCTTTCGTATTGTCCATGGCAACACAGCCTAATGCAGCAACAACAACAACAATCACGATGATTTGAACAGCTGCAGATCCATGAGCTGTAAATTTATAAGGGCACCCGCAATGGTTATCTATACGCTCTCTACAAGAGATCCATGTCAGCATATTTTTCTACTTGAAAGAAATTAAATGAAGAGAGAGAGCAAATCTATCTACTAACCAGGAGATAGTCTATAGAGAAAAACGAGGCAATGGATTAGAGAGCTATAGATATCCATGTAGACGTACCATTGAAGTGGTTTACTATTAATCTAGTCTATTGCTAAGATATACATGCTTTATAGATAGTACCTTACTTTACTATTGCGGGTGCTCTAATAGTCTATTATGTTCGCGGCCGGATCCAAACTTTGCACGCTTCAGTTAATTTGAACAACATCTATGTGACAAGTTTTATCATATACTACTATGTATAAATTTAGTTTCTTCAGGTTGTGTACAAATTCTCGCTCAATTCAATACTTCAATAGTATTACCTCCGTTTCTAAAATATAGCAACTTTTAGCTAAAAGTAGTTATATTCTAGGACTGAGTATGAGTACAGTACTTCATACTCCCAGCAACAAGTACACAAAAAAGTAATCATAGCATTACTTTCAGAATTCAGATAGCAGCACAAGTATGTGCACATAATTATCGTATCATCCCCTTCACATAGTGTATTGCCTAATATTTCATTAATAATAACCATATGTACAAGCTGCCATCACTTCGTCTTCTCCATGCCTACCACAACTTGATTCGTGTACGCACGCTTCCTACTACTTCATGCGTCACGCACCAATTTCCGTGCAGAGAACAAGTTGAGTGCCTTCCTCTTGCCTGCATCACAGGCTTGGATCATTGCGCACACATCGTTCTTCTCCAGGAACTTCTCACCGTTCACCAGAACCAGCGGTACGTACTGCAGAACCATCCTCTTGCACTGTCAACAAGATAACGTACGATTTCATCAAACGCATGTCACTCGTGTAGACATGTACATTAACCAAACTAGCATTATTGGGTCAGAGAGAGAGAATTTTTACAAAGTACTTCAAATGTTTTACCTGCTGCTGATGACCTTCAATCTTGTTGCATTCCTTGAGTAGTAATTGAATGATCTCAAACTGCAAACATCACACACAAGATGTTAGGGTCCAAATGTATGCTCATTATTTATTATCGATGTAATTGTGTAATCGAGGGAAAATCAATCACCTCTGCATCAGGATCTTTCAGTTTGGACGTAATTTCATCGATGATGTGGTGGCAGAATAAGCATGTGCTTTCACTTTTAACAGCTGATAAAAGAGCCATGTCCCTGCAGAGGCCATACTGTTTGCAGAACGCAGCTGGCTTGATCTCAGCAATTTTTGCAAAGACAAGAGTTGCATAGGAGTCCATAGTCTCAAGACACTGCAGAAATACAAAGTGATCATGTTAAACTACTATTGTCCATGGAATATCTTTCCTGCTTGGTACTTTAGTAAGGGAATATAATTCCTACATGTGTCATATCTTTTGATCAAACTGATTGTATTTCTATTTTCTAATATACAGACACAATATATAAGATCTAACAAACCAAATCAAAAGGAAACAATTACCTTTTGCTCAAAGGAGAATGTCTGAGAACAAGTGTCATGAAGGATCGTCCTTATCTTATCTTGTATTTGTTTTTCACTAAGAAAATTGACAGCTTCACTTGTGATGTTTTCACAAGCCGAGCACAGTGAGCTGTGCTTGCTCCTCAGAAGAGTTACAGGTATCTTGGTCGACGCAATTTGCTCCTTGTACATTGGGCTAGCATCTTCCCCGATCTCAGTTGTTTTTAGATCAAGGACAACTGAGAAGGAATGAATAATAAACAAACAAATAAATAGAACGAAATAAGATTGTGAATTTTCAGTGCTACATAACTAATTTTGCCTAAATAAAATATCATGAAAGTCGTCAGCAAAAAAAATATCTATTACATATTTAAAAAGTAAGAGTAAACTATTGCTAATAATTGGGAAGCACATTCTCATTTCTGTGAAGCTGGAACTAGCTAATACTGTCACATTATGCGACATTGCATGTCTAGCCTTGTTGTATGTACCCATAATCCTTTTCATGAAGAAGTATGCACCCATAAGCAGTAATCGGTGTTGCAGAAATATAAAGAAGTAACACTGTTCAAAACATACCATAACTAGCATAAACAAATGAGTAATAACAAGCCCAGGTTTAACATACGAGAGAAATCAGAAATGCCAACAATGAGATTAGGCTATCCTCATTTTCTCTCTCTATGGAAAAAAATATCATCGATTGTGTACCAATGTATGAGATAAACATGGGACTTTGTAAAGAGTGCATGGCAAAGCTTGAACAAAAATAAAGGATGCATTTTGCAGGCAATGAATAACCAGGCTAAGAGGATCAGTAACAGGTTATTGTCAAGTTGAACTTCAACCAAATAAAATAATATTCACTGCAGCTGCCAATATATATAAATTTTACAATGATACTTTACTATGCACAATAAAAAAATTGTCCCATTTTCCCTTGAGAATGTTTGACATGTTCGTTCCAATCTGCATGCAGGAGGAGCATAGGTAAGGGAGGAAGGGAAGGTGTTTGATTAGGGCGTACCAAAATCGTTGCCTTGACCTTGAGCAGCTCCGCAGGTGACGATTAACAGGAGTAGGAGAAAGGAAGCAACTTTGAAATCCATCGCCTCTTTCTGGCTGCAATTGACCTGCAATTGAGTATGTGTGTGAAGAACAATTGGGGATTAATAACAGATAGGGCGGCCAAATCGAGAGATTGAGGAATCAAATCGCGACGATTCTAATCTAGGAGAGAAGAGGAAAAAGAAAGGGCCAGGCCGGGAATCCAATCCACACAAGAGAGGAAGCAGCAGAGGGAACAAGCAAGCAACTCGAGCTAGTTGACGATAGGGGAAGGAAGAGAGGAGGGGGAATCGAAAGGGGAAAGACAACTCACAAATCGCAAGCGGCGGCGGCGGCGTAAATCCTTTCTGCTATGTTGGTTTGTAAAAAATCGATCTTGCCGCTGCAATTATACCCTCCTGCAGGATTGATTGTAATAACAAGGGGATCGAAGAAGCAGAGAGGAATTCCTTCCTAGTCGTATCGGGGTGTGGTTTCTGTTGCGTGGAGGGTATGAATTCGTGGAGGAAAAGGAAAAAAAAAACAGATTAGAACGCCGAATAGGATTGGATAGTTAGAGTCGGTTAATTAGACAGTGATTGGATTAGTTCATGCGGTTGGAAGTTGGATTTCGACACAACTGTGGGCTTCAGCTGTATGAAATGAGATGCGGCCCAATAGAAATTAAGGCCGGCCCACTCAAGGAGTGAGTAAAAAACAAAGGCCCATTGATACTGAAGGAATAAAAAGATTAAGGAAAAAAGTACACCGAAGGTCCCTCAACTTGTCATCGAATTACAAAATCGTCCCACAACCATAAAACCAGATATATAACGTCCCTTAGGGCATCAGCAACGTATGTCTACTGGTTGGGTATTAGTGCAGGCCCATGCCACAGGCGGCAGTAGGAGAAGACACCCTCCACAATGTTTATTTCTGAGAGACAGGCAATAAGGTGGGTCCACGAGTTAAAAAATCGACTCTGGCAGAAACCTTTCTATGCACAAGTTACGTTCCTGACTGATTTATGCGTACGTATCATTTTTTATTCCGTTGCTTCCGGTAGTAGTACTATGACCCGGTTGTAACTATGCACCACTCTCACAATATTTAATACCAGATAGTAAGTAGTGATTTGACCCTTACTACCTGGTTTTTTACAACATTGTGGATGCCCTTAACTTACAAAACCGGCGGGTGAGTTAGCATGAGACCCACATTGGCCCCACATGTCAGGACGCCACATCATCATCTCTCTCTTTCCCCTCCTTTCCCTTCCTCCTCCTCCTCTCTCTCTCTCACTCATCTCCCTCTGGGCAAGCCGGCCGGCGGTGGGGAGGAGGTCACCAGGACGAGGAGGTCGGACGGCCAGCCAGCGATGCGGCGGCAGCAACTCGGCAGCGACGACACGGGAGAAGGGGAGGGAGGCGACGGCAGAAGCACGAGGTGCTAAAGCAACCTCCATTAAAATCGAGCAGAAGAAGCCGAGGCGGATTTCGCATGAGCTAGCGCAAGCGTCGACCATGGAGGAGGTCGTCGTCGGCAAGGAGCGCAAGCGCCCGTGCTGCGCGCTCGTCGGCGTCGGCGACCACGGCGGCGGCGTGGAGGACGAGCCAGGTGGCGCGCGCGGCGGCGGGCGATAAGGACAAGCACAGCAAGGTGGTGACATCGCGGGGGCTCCACGACCGCCGCGTCAGGCTGTCGGTGCCGACGGGCCATCGCGTTCTACGACATCCAAGACCACCTCGGCGTTGACCAACCAAGCAAGGCCATCGAGTGACTCATCTGCGCCGCCACCGCCGCCATCGACGTGCTCCCGTCGCTCGACTGCTCTCTTGTCCTCCCCAACACCGCCCAGCTCCTCACCCGCTGGAGGCGGAGGCCGTCGAGCGGGCAGCCTTCGGAGGAGCAGGCGCGCACGAGGAAGGCTACGGTGGCGGCGTCGCATAGGAAGTCGGGAGAGAAGAGGCGGAAGACGAGGTCGGGGTGCGCGGCGTGGAGGGCGGAGCGCATCGTTGTAGCGCCCGTTCCGTCGTGGCGCCTAGCGGGAAAACTATCTCTTAAAAACTCTATTTGCGAAAGCTGTTTCTTTGCTTGTGGTCTAGTGTCCGTGCCATCTCAGATCTCAAATCCCCGATCTATCATCGAATTCAATCCTAAATCCAAATCCTTCCCAAATCAATTCCTCCGCAAAAGTCTATTTTGCCTCCCCGGGGTCGATGGGCCGAATCTCTCTCGGCCCATCTCCCCCTCCCTCCCCGGCTATCTCTCTCTCTCTCTCTCTCTCTCTCCCCCTCTTCTCCGCTCTGCCCGCGCGCCGCGCGCGCGAGCGCGTGAGCCGCGCCGAGCCGAGCCCTCCTCTCCGCTCCCTCGCTCTCCCTCTCCCCGCCTCCATCCCTGGCGAGCTCCCCGCCCGCGAAGTCGGCCCCCGCGCGCCGTTGTTCGCGCGCGCGCCCGCGTGGTTGCCGCCCGTGCCGCGCCTGCGCCGTCCGCGTCACCCGGCCCCGCTGCCCTGCCGCGCCTGCAGCCACGCAGCCGCTCGGCCCCGCGCGCGCGTGCCGTGGTGGCCGACCGCCTGGTCGCCGCCGCCGTCAGCCACTGCCGCGCCTGCCCGCGCCTGTCGCCCGTGTCGCCGCTCCGCTCCACACCGCCCCGCCGTCATCGCCGTCGTCATCGCCTCGGCCCCGCCACTCCGCGCGCAAGCTGCCAAGGGACGGAGGCAGAGCCCCTCCTCCCTCTGCCGCGTCGCCCCCGCTCCCCTCCTCCTTTTCCCAAAGAGGCAAGGGGCAAGCCCCCTTTCTCTCCCTCCTTTTCCCCTTTTTCCTCCCGCCGGCGTCATCCTCCCTCCGCCCTGTCGCCGATTTGGCCGCTAGCCGGAGCGCCAGCTCGCTGGCTTGACCGTCCAAAGTCGGTTCCCCTCTCCCAAACCGACATTGCCATCCTATAAAGCCCAGGCGCCCTCCCACTCTTCTCCTCTCGTTGTCCCATCGCCTCCACTCCATTGTTGCCGCCCCTCTATTTCGCCGTCGCCGTTCGTCGTTGCGCGTGTCGGAGGAGCCGGCACGAGCGAGGACGCGGAAGGGGACTCCGGGCGCGCCCTCTTCTTCCTCTTCCTCGGCCCGAGGCCGAAACGATCACGTTTCGCGCCGTCGGCTCTCGTCACTGCGCCCGCCCGCACGGTAGCGCATCTCCCCGTTCTCCCTCTTCGCTCCATCTCCTCCCCTTAGACTCGGGTAGTAGCATGAGTAGCCTCCCCGTAGCTAGCCGGCGCCGCCCCGACGGCTGCCGTCGCTCGCTGTGTGCTCGCCACCGTCGCCGCCCGAGCTCGGAAGCGCCGCTCGTCGCCGGCCTCGCTCGGCGCCGCTCCGCCCAAACCAACACTAGCATCGGATTCCCGTAGCCGCGTAGATGCTCTCGCCGCCGGGAATCGGCCCCTCGTGACCTCGTCGCCGTTTCCCCCTTCTTCCGCCGCCGGTTGCCGCCGCCGCAATCCGCCGCCGTCGAGCATCCCCCGGCAAATCCGAGCCGTTGGCTCGTCTCCCCTCGTCCTGAGCAACCACCCGGTGTGCTCGCTTTCACCTGTATCGCCGTGGTTCGCTCCGCCGCTGTCGTCCGCCGTCCGTTCCGGCCGGCGTCGTCGTCTACCTCCCGCCGGCCCGCGTGGCAGCCACGTAGGCGCCACGTAGGTGCCACGTCGGCGCCAGCTCGGCCAAGACCGGGTCGAGCCGACCCCGGTCAGCCCCTCCCCGTGCGCGCGTTCCACCGCGAGCCGTGAGGCTGCGCGTGGGCCCGCCGCATCCGCGTCCTCCGCGAACCGCGCGCGTGCACCGCGTCCCTCTCCCCGCCCGCACGCGTGCGTCGCGTGCTCGCTCCGCACGGTGAACCGTGTCACCGACAAGCGGGTCCCACTCGGGACCACGCGAGGTGAGCCCGGTCCACCGGCTCCCTCTCTCCTCCCCTCCCGCGCGCGCTCTGGGCCGCCTTTTGGGCCGGCCGGCCCATTTAGCTCGGCCGAGCCGCTCCTTTTCTCTCGGGCCACGCCCTAGCCACCCGAGGGAAGTTTAATTCCCCTCCCTCTTCCTTTTCTTTTTCCAAAAGGGTTTAATTAAATCCTTTTTCCTTTAGACCAAAAATCCAATAATCTTAGAAATTCAATATCTTCCCAACCGTAAATCCGTTTGACTCCGTTCAACTTCCAAAATTCCTCAAATCTTGAGATCTATCTAATGGCACGCTTAGAGGTCAATAATAGGGCTTTATTTTCACCGTTGGTTGAGTTGTCCCGTTTCGCGTGTAGTTTCGGAGCCCGAAGACCCGCAGTGCGAGGATTTCGAGGATCAAGCTCAAGATCTCGAGCAAGGCAAGCCACCTTTGAACATCTTGAGCCTATATTTGAACTTAATTATGTTGCTTGAAAAATATTATGCATTGATAGGATCACACTTAATCTGTTTGTCCCGTCTGCAAGGCAGATTGGCGGACCTACCTAGTTTGTTGCATTTGATCCTTCCTTTGTTAATTGTTATACCATGTTCCCTTGTAACCACCCAGTTGCGCCTCGGAAATCGTGCACTCTGCACGAGTATCGACGGTCGCCTTCAAACTTAAAATCTGAAAAATAACTTGGGTAAAACTTGGGTTTTACAAAAGACTTGGAAAACCCGACACCTGGGTCGGTGCTTGCGAACTAAATGAATTTCCAAAACCGCGGACCAGGGAACGTACCGGGGGTACGGTTTCCCGCTCTTGCACTTAAGGACCGTTTCCTTGGAATTTCATCCGAACATAAGACAAGTACGACCACATGGGTGGAATGGGACACCCCTGGCTGAGTAACTAGCTTATCAGGAAAGCCTTGATGCCGAGAGACATGTGGATTCGCCGGGGTGGTGTCGGGGAGGACCCCTGGGTTTTCTGGCACAGTATGGTCTGGGACCTAACCTGTTGTTGGTCTGGGACCCCTCTCGTCGGCATATGGTAAACCTGTGTCGGCTTTGGAAATGCCTTGTCATGAAAGCTTGGAGGTCTCCCGACGTGGCTGATCCCCACGGGCTGGGTGATCCGGGTTAGTAATGTCGTGTGGGTAAAGTGTACCCCCTCTGCAGAGGTTAACAAACTATTCGAACAGCCGTGCCCACGGTCATGGGCGGATGTGAGGTGATTCCTAGCGTAGTTTTGTTTGACTACTGCTTGTGAAATTGCTGTTGTGGAAAGGGGATCGATGTTTGGAAAATCTGTAGCTGATGGGATCAGCTAGGCCCGGGTGGCCGTTTGAAAGTTGTTGGCCCGGGTGGCCATTTGATAGTTGTTGGCCGGGTGCCAATCTTGAACAATTTTAAAGACTGATACATTGCACATACTCCGACCGGACGAGACGCACTGTCTTATCCGTGTCGTTTGAGAAGCACTCACTTAGTTGATTTCAGAAAAGAGTTCAAATAAAATCAATTGCAAAAACAACAGCCTTTCCTTGAAGCCTGCATTAAACACTTATTTCCCATGGCTTGCTGAGTACTCCTGTACTCACCCTTGCTCTATATAAATAATTCCCCCCCAGTTGCTGAAGAAGATGAAGCGGATCCCGCCGATGAGGAGTTCTTCCAGGAGCAAGCCGGCTACGATGAGTTTTAGGGTTTCGGCCTAGTTCCCAAGTCGCGCCTGTGTTGCTTGGTCCAAGTCCTGGCTTCCACTTCCCTTTTGTAATGCAGTTGTGAGCTCG